TTTTTAATTAAAAATTAAAACAAATTTAGTATTTTGCTTTATTTTGTTAAATTGAATTTTTAGCTACAGTTTTGCTAGATTTTACCTACTTTTACCTACTTTTTTCATTTAATCATTCAGCACTTCCTGTTTTTATTTGTCCAATCCTCTGATTGGATCAGTTGAAGTCACTTGTTGATGATTTGACTCCGGGCTTCCTTGCTGCAGGAGTCGGCCCTCGCTCACGTGGAGCTCCCTACCACTGTGGAGACTGTCGAAGTCTCCATAAAGAAACACAAAGAGTTCACCACCACCATGGAGCTGAACCTGCACAGGATCAAAGCAGTGATCGAGGCAGGAGAAAGTCTGATCAGCCAAAGCAACATCTACTCGGATCGCATCAGGGAACACATCGACACGCTCGCCAACAGGTAAAAACACCTCATGTCACATTAAAACAAAAAGACACAGGTCACCACCCATCCATATTCTTCTGCTTATCTGGGGTTGGCTCTCGGGGCAGCAGCCTAAACAGAGAGACACAGACTTCCCTCTCCCCAGCCAATTCCTCTGGGGGAATCCTAAGGAATTCCCAGGCCAACATAGTCCCTCCAGTGTGTCCTGGGTCCCACGGGTCAAAAAGACTCGATAGGACTCCTTCTTCAGCCTGACAGCATCCCTCACTGCCGGTGTCTACCAGCAGGTTCGAGGGTTGCCACCATGACAGGCACCGACAACCTTATGGCCACAGCTCAGGTAAGCCGCCTCGACAATGGAGGTACGGAACATGGCCCACTCGGACTCAATGTCCCCCACCTCCTCTGGATCATGTTCAAAGTTCTCCTGGAGGTGTGAGTTGAAGCTAAGTGCAAAATTGTCATGCACAAGTTTTCCATGGGGGCAGAGAACCGTGAATGTTTTAAACCGGAGAGACAACCAGGCTCTACTCTCCACCCTGGCAGCAGCTATGTGGTTCGGCTTGGTCCAGCCTCGGTCCAAAGGTGTCTCCATGGTTCCAGTTTCAGAACGTCCTCTCCGGTCCGGTCGGTGGTTCTAGCAGGCAGAAGCGAGTACAGCATGCTTATGGTTTTGACTTCAACAGAATGCTGCCCGTGGATTAGCTCTGGGATTGATGGACAGAAGAAAGGAGAGCGCAGCTTTTGTTTTGGAATACGAGTGCGACATGACGAGAGCAGTGATAAAAACTGTGCTCTATGCAGATCAGATGAGACGACAACAAAGTCGATCATCAAGCTGTGGTCTAGGGTGTCCTGGTGCCAAGAGCACATATGGACACCCTTATGTTTGAACATGGTGTTTGTTATGGACAATCCATGACGAGCACAGAAGTCCAATAACAAAACACCGCTCTGGTTCAGATTGAGGGGCCGTTCCTCCCAACCATGCCTCTCCAGGTCTCACTGTCATTACCCACGTGAGCGTTGAAGTCCCCCAGCAGAACGAGGGAGTCCCCAGTAGGAGCGCTCTCCAGCACCTCCTCCGAGGACTTCAAAAGGGTGGGTAATCTGAACTGCTGTTAGGCGCATAGGCACAAACAACAGTCAGAACCCGTCCCCCCACACATACGCCGAGTTTCAGCTTCTTAAACGCACAGTCCTGTCTTTACCTGAAACTGATTATCAGTCTCAAAGACAGAAGCAGCTTTTCAAACAACTGTGTTTATTATTAAAGCATTTAAGGGTTTTAAAGCAGAGTTTCAATGAAACAAAGACAGAGGAGAGAGGCTGGTGTGTTTGTTTCACCCACAATGGATTCCTGACCATGAAATCTATGCGACAGCTGAGGTTTTTCTCTGTTCTTTGTGTAAAAATGGGGAGGATGGGGGACAATACGGACAACCAGCTGGGTTTTTGTTTTAGATTAACATAAAACAACACATATGGGGCTAAAAGATAGAGTTAAACCAACATCATCAGTTTAATTTATTTATTAAATAAACTGGAATTAGAAAATAATTCAGTTTGTAGTTTTTAGTTTGGATGGTTTTATTGATTTTGTTGGATGTGTTTCATGTATTCAGTCAAATTTAAAGATATTAAACTAAAAATTGTTTGCTTCCTGTTTTGTTTCTTTTATGTGTTGTAGATTCCACATGCTGTAACCTTAATTAAACCTTTTGTCTCCGTCTTAAAGGGGAAACCAGAACAGACAGCTGGCTCAGCAGTGGCTGCAAAAACTGAACGATCAGTGGGAACTTCAGAGATTTCTCCAAGATTGTCATGAGGTAGGAAACTCTGTATTATTGCAACTTTTAGAGACTGAGATCTAAATATTAAATTAGCTCAAGTCCAAGAAAATGTTTTTTTTCTGGAAAGTTAATATATTAAGTGCAGGGAGAGATATTAGGTTTATGAGATTTTAACCTCAAAGTGTTTTGACTTACGTTTCTGGTTTTTCATCAGACTTTAGAGCGGTGCTTCAACTATATATGACTGTTTTAGATATATTTTCCTAGAAAAAAACTAATTATAAAGAGGATGCCTAATCCTCCAAGTGGGACGTGCCCAGAAAACCATTTGTGTTTGAATAAATCAAGAGAGTACTTCCGGTTTAGCTACTGGAACCACAGCAGGATCTAAGCAGTGACATCTAGTGTGTAGTAGTAGAACTGCAGCCTTCATATTTGTGCACCAACAAGACTAGTCCTCATGTATAATCTGTCCGCTGTGCAGCAGCAGAGTTGTATACGTCGCACACCTCTTACCTGCTCTCCCCTGTGTGTGTTTTTTCCTCTCAGTTTGCAGAGCCCCTGGTTTCTCTCTGCAGAACCTCGCTTAGTTTCAGCAACTTTCTGTCTGTGGTCCTCGTAAATAATTCAGCAGCACGGTTCCTCATCATTAATTCAAAGAGGAAAAGTGTATCTGACTTTGCACATGAATGAGTATGTGTCAGTCACACTGTATATACTGTATCTGCAGGGGAGGTTACATACAGTTTGTGGCGTGAAGACCAGAAAACAAACATGGAGAGGCATTCTGTGTGTGTGTGCGAGTGTGTGTGTGCGAGTGTGTGTGTGACACTGCGTCAGTTTGTTGGAACCTGAGCCGTTTGCAGGCCGGGTTGTGTTCTGCAGGCCAAGTTACTCCCTGGTGTTTCCAGCGACTCGCTGCTGCTCTCTGTCTGCAGATTTTTCTCACATTAACTTCTAAACACATTAAAATAATTCTGTTGTGCACAAAACTACCCCATTACCAGTTGACCATATTTGATTGTTTACTTTTAATGCTCAAACTTTAAAGACAAAAATGAAATATGTTAGTACCTTTTTTTACTTTGTTCTTGTAAATATATTTGTAAAAATGTGTTAAATAAAGATTAAATTAAAATCAATAAGTTGCCTTCAGGCCCAGGCC